TTCTTCTTCTTCTTCTTCTTCTTCTTCTTCTTCTTCTTCTTCTTCTTCTTCTTCTTCTTCTTCTTCTTCTTCTTCTTCTTAAATGAATATTCAATGCCAAACACAATAGCTCTATTCAACAAACTCTTCAGTTATGAACTTAACGCCTTATATCGTGGTCGGATCACATCATCCCTAACTCAAACCTCTCCCGGCATGAAAGACAGGTATAAAATTATTTTTAGATTGTACCCTAAATCTATGTGACAGAAGAAGAGACACAATGTGTACGTCTGACCGAGAATGAAGTCATAAAGAACAAGTCAATAGCTCACAGAACGTATCCCACAAGCTGTTTTCTTCCCTTTGTCCAACTCCCATTAAAAACCAAAAAAAATCCAGGAATTTTGTGACGTCGAGCGGCCAGGGAAATCGCTGTCTAATCAAAGTGGAGAGGAAATGTGTGGGTTTTTTCTCTCTTCTTGATACATATTTATCTCTGTCTGTCGACATAGTGTCCGGTCTAGCAAACAGTAGACACCTCATGGGGTGTGCGTTGGCCTATAAGGGAATTTTTTTTCGGGGGGTGGGGGTGGGTCAGCCGACATTGACAAGTGCTCTAGTAAGTTGGAAAAGAAAATCATACACAATCAAGACAAAAATAAATCCAAAGACGAAACAAAACAATGATAACACTACTCATATAAAATGCACCTAATAATAAAAGATAAATTAATAATAATAATAAAAATAATAACATATCTATTATGACGACTACTACTACTACTACCACTATTACTATTAATACTCCTACTACTACTACTACTACTACATTTGTAGCAATAGTAATATAATGGGAAGAAGAAGAAGAACAAGAAGAAAAAGAAGGAGAAGAACAAGAACAAGAACAAGAACAAAAACAAGAAGAACAAGAACAAGAAGACGAACAACAACAACAAAAACAACAACAACAACAACAACAACAACAACAACAACAACAACAACTATAATATACTACAAGAAAAAAAACTGACCTGAAGTTGCTGCAGGGATGTATAACCCAGTTGCCCACCCGCTTGTGGCGCATCTTCTCCTTGATGAGGGCGTTCTTGTTGCCGAAGAGCTTCATGGCGAGCTTGTTGTCCGAGGGCTGGAAGAAGTTAAGGATCTGGTCCTTGAGATAGCTGGTGGTGCTGCTCGCCTTGGAGGCCGCCCCGCCCGCCTCTCCAGCCACGCATTCCTGCCCCATGGGCAGT